GAATCATAGGCGATATTCCATTACATGAAATTATGTTAAAGCATTATGTATCTTTCCCTTATTGTTTCTCGAAACAATAATGATTTTTTTACAACACTAATGTGTGGGTGATGCTTTTCGTAACCCCAAATACATGTACGAAGTTGCCTCAGGCTCATCTTTGCTTTGATTTATCTCCTACGTCGGACGGGCAATGAAGTCCAGAAATAACCCCCCGCCGAGGAAATACACACGAAAACACTCGACATCAAAGAGCGCGAAGCAATTTCCTGGACTGCAACGGGCGGTGCACTGTGGCGATTCTAGGAAACGCTGCACAGAACCAGCGAGGCCTACAATCTCCTCATTAATATCTTGCATGAATGGAGCGAGGCACAATTACTGGCGGAGCGGCTCCCGCTTCGGGCCTCGCCAGCGCTGCGCTGCGGCCGCCACCGGCCGTGAGCGCGGGCAATTTCGGCTCGGCGAGGAAACAGTTGGTACCCCGCGCTCTAGCGCGGTAATTTGGTCAAGAACTGTGGCGGATACACAAATGCCTCGTAATTTGTCCATTGGAACTCGATGTTCGATCGACTTCGGTTGCGGTAATCTGCTATGAAGATAGACCAGCTATTGCTTTCGCCAAACAATCTGGGGTATTTTTATATATTGGGTAGTATCTGTGCCATTAGAGATAGGTTAATGCGTATTAGAAATCTAGTTTATTGTAGACCATTTTGTGGCGTTTACAATACGTTCTCTTTATGTTTTTTACTGTTTTTGCTGCAATGTACCTGTTTTAGTTACCATTTCCATTATTTCGTTAATTTGTGTGTTACTCTATTGTAATTTGTTTCTAGTTTATTACATCGATTCGCCAAATACCATTTTTCATTCTGTAGATTGCTAATGAGCAAAACGTTTGTAGCAGTAATTCATACCACTAATATTAGGTATTTTTTTGTAGTTTTAGAATGATAAATAACTGTAAATAATACATTTATATGCTCCTTATTTGTGGGTGCATAATACGTAAATAATACTCATGATACTTCCTCGGTGGAAACTGAAAAACTATATAATACTTGTAGGAATACCGCATCTATTTCTGTGATTCTTCGGGACTAGAAGTAATTTAGAAATTAAGTTATTTTTTATTATCACTTTTACGTTACAAAACTTAACAATATAGCAATATTAACGAACTTAGCAAGAAAAAATTTCAACAATACGTGAGCTGAACAACATTTCTCCACAAATCTTAAATATTTATACAGAGTGAGCGCACTCTTATTAAGAATACAAAGTGAGCGCACTCCTAAAATAAAGTGCTGGAACTTCATTGGTGGGGTGTTATGGGGACATGAACAAATTCTAGTTCTCTTTGCGAAGTTGGTCAGCCTTTTGGTGACAAACAGTAGAGCTGCAGGCGGGACACGCAGACACTTCAGTGAATGTGTACCCTGTTGCCCGTGAAGCCCCACATAATACGTTGGATTTCATGGGACAAATTGCTCTGGCATTATCACGGCTTTTGTTTCTTTCTTTTGATTGCGCGTTATTAGCTAAACGTTCAGTTTAACGTGTGGCCGGGTGTTTTGCGTTGTTTAACATTATGCAAATTATTTTGCTTTTTACAGCGGGCATTCATTATCGACGCTTACTGCCTTTAGAGCTCTGAAGTATCGCTGCACATGAAACGAGCTAGCGTGCAATTTGGGGTGTTGAGTTGCTCTATTTAGTTTCCTGGCGCTGATAGAGGGGAATATATTTTCTGCAAGTTGTGTCTTTTGTCTGGGACAGTCAATGGTATGTTTTAAAACTACACGAATTTAACACATCCGTGTTCACCACTTTGTCTTCATATAGTTGCCAATCTCTGATTAGGTCGAATGGATGTTTAATGTGTCTCCTCGGAAATTATGCATCGTGTTTAGTAAGAATTTACTAAACGTGTTACCAACAATTATTGCCATGTTTCAAAATCAGGACTTTTTTTTATCAGTTTGTTTTGAAGCTTATCTACCATGGTTTTATGTAGTGCATTTTCAATTTTCTGTGAATGGCTCGTGCCGAAGTTAAATGTCATTGAAGTTGTGGTGATAATTGCATGATATAATAAACAGGAAATTCCATTTAGTGTTGCGACTCCATGTATGACTCTTGGTCAATCGTTGACTTGCATATGCCCTGTGACATGCTTTTCTAATTTCCGACTCGCCTGTGTGTTCTCTGTCTACCTAGAAAATCAGGGGTTCAGCAGAAATCTCATTTAGTTACTTCCTGAATAAGAACGTCCGCTGCTCTGCATAAGGTAGATGTCACTATAATTGTGGTGGTAATTCAATGATATTTGAAACAGTAAATTCCATTCAGTGTTGGAGATTGGTAGATTTCTATAGATCTAAAACGTCGACCTGCATACGATGTTAACTTCTCTAATTTCCGACTTGCCTTTGGTGCCCCGTCCACCTAAAAATCCACATAGTCTTGCCAGCATTTATGGCTACCCAAAGTACATTTTTTTACAAAAAAAATAATTTTTCGGTTTTCTAATAGTAGAACGGAAATATTATTTTAAGAATATTTATATAAATATAAATATATTTAAAGAACAGTGAAACCTCGTTCTAAATGGAAATTTATTTGAAAAACCAAAAAACAACAACAAAAGAATAGAGCAATATAGCGAAAAATTAAGAAAAATTTTTAAAAAATTTACTTTTAGTGGCAATAGATGGCTGCTGACAAGATTATGTGGCACGTCCAAATAATTAGCTGAGACCAAAGGAAATAGAAAAGTTATACAAGAAAGTCTGTGTCATTCTGTTGCACGGATAATTTTGTTCTTGTATCCGTACGTATATACGAAGTAATCCATGAACTACAGAGAAAGACATACTATGTATCGGAAAAATGACAATTTAGGATAGAAAAACTCATGTTGAGGGGTTCTGATACAGAAACAGTGAATAATTTCTGTTCTAATACGTATAAAATCACTCCCGCTACCACGTTATGTAGTCAGATTTAACTAATTTGGAGCCCTTGGTACCGAAAAATTGTTTTTTAAACGGCTTTCCGCCCGTCTGTGTGCGTGCGTCTGTGTCGTTTTTTGCACAAAGCAGGGGAAAATCATTCTAAGACATCTCGGAGCCCGCTGAAGCAGAGATTCACAGCTAGCTTGTGCCTTACCCACTAAAAACCTCTCCCATTCTCTCAAATTCCTTCCCGCATAGCAGCCGTCAGACATTGCATCACGGAAGAGCCGATCCGCTTATCGCTCTATGCCAACTGATGTCACGTAATACTCCTTTGCAGTCATTCACACGGGCAGACGTTCTAAAAAGAACCACTTTTTTGGTATCGGGGAACCCCATAACGACAGGACGAACTTTTATTTTCTTGCAATTTTCTCTGTCAATCCGTCTTTCCGCATTCCGAGTAAAAATGAGAAGATATGACCTGAATGCGTCTTGTCATAACGCATACAACAAGATTTCTCGCTTTGAAATTTTCTCTACGTTCATGCTTTTTGCAGCTTCATTTCCATTAACACATCATTTGTTACTTCCCTTCAAAATATATTTTTATTTCCAAATGCTGTAAGTAATCACTCATTGTTACTCCCTTCTTCGTACGTTAAGGGAGGTCAGCAATATTTCAATTACAACTGTCATACCGGGATGTGGTTCAGGGCATCACTTGATGCCTCTGACTGGGAAGTCCTAGTGTTCGAAACTCAACTGTGGGTGGATTTTGATCCTAGTTACATAACTAAGTCGAATTAAATAGCTCTCTAAAGGAGAATTCTTTGCCGGCTCCTTCAGTCGGTGCTTTTCCTTAGTTTCTACGATCAACACCAGATAAATGCGGAAGCAGTGTCTAACAAACGGGCAACGAATCGCGCGCGATCTTTTCGTCCTCGTCATTGTTCTATCCTCACCTTTTACTTATATACATATTTACATGCACTGTTGACATATGTGGTATTGCAGTGCATGTAAATGTGTCAGGAGATACCACATATGTCAGGAGACCAGTCGGGAGCTAAGAGCTTGTCCCGGAGATACCTGAGGCAAATCCAGCTACTCTACATCAGATCGATAGGTTGACACCAGATTTCACCTTTCAGCAGGGTAAGATCAATGCCACATCCAGAGAAAACCCATACACGAAAATCACGAGATTAACGGCTGTTGATGCATCCGCAAGAACCCTAATTAATAAATCAACCTACAAATCATAAAACTACCGCATTAGATTTTATGTCTGCAGGAAGTGCCAAATATATTAGTTTATATGTTAACAAATGAAGGCAAATGATACAAATGATAACACATTTGAGTGTATCTCAAATGCAGCATTGATGTACTTATCAGTGTAATATATAAACCAAGGGAAGTCTGTCTGCGTGATAAGACGAATTTTGAATACAAGTGTCTAATTTTAAACGAAAAGTGATGTTCGTGATTTTGTAATATGTGATGTAATGTTTAAAAATATTCATTTAATTTCTTTCTTTCGGTCTTTTCGACCGCCGTTCAAAATTGTTTTCTGTTCGCCATACAACTAGCGTCGATTTTATAAACATAACCCTTTTGAACCCCGTATTTGAGACAACATGATTACGAACTCAACTGTTTCTTGAAGTTACAGGCAATACAACCAAAACTAAATTGTTTAATATCCATTATTTGGTCATTTTACGACGTGTCTCTTTTCATGCTTTTCTAAATCTCGTAGAATGTATAACCAGTTTTGCAACGAGTCTCAGACATTACGATTAGTCATTTTCTTCATTTTCGTCATTGTTATTGTCCTTATACGAGGAAATGAGTTCAAAAGTGGCATGTGAGCTTTATTTATTCTCACCACCCATTTCTTCGTCACCCATTCCAAACTTTCTTCATTGGTTCTATAGATAAGCCAAGGCAAATTTGACATACCATTTAACTAAGACAAAACTGAGTGACCAGAATAACGATAATTTAATTTATTGAAAATTTAATTTTTTTTAGAGATTACTCGTAAACATGTATGCCGTGATGTATGCGGTGGACCGTTGTTTTCAGGATTTGCCAAAGTACGGTTTGTATTGACCTATTAAGAATTGACTAAATTTCCCTAGTTGCCCGGATATTATTTAACAGTAATGAATTAAACAGAAAAAGAACAGAAATCTAATTATAGTTCTCGCAATTCAGCATGCCCGAAAACAGTAAAGAGGCGAGTTCGGCGGATGTGATCGGTACGTCACAAAAGTCGTCGACTTAACGCTCACCGCTGCCATTACTGTTTTCTAAACTGCAATGGTTAATATCCCAAAAGCGAGTTAGTCATGTATAATCATATTTTCGTCGAGCTCGTTCCGTATCGCAGTTTCTTCGCCTCTCACACGCCGGCATCCAATACACTCATCACAAATCCGCACCCAATATTCCCCACTACCGACGCGCCTCTACCCGTCCCTGCGGCACCCCGCGTCCGGAAATAAAGCCTCGCGGATCAGGCCACGGGGCACCTGACCCGCGGTGATTAATGACCGACGCGAGTGACGTAATTTGTTAACGCGGTTACGCGGGGACAAACTGTATTAGTTGGCAACCCTGCGCGCTGGGCTGGCGCTCCCACGCTGCCGTCGTTGTGGCGCCGCAGCGCGTATTTCTGCCGGTCCAATTGCGTTATAATTAACCGGGTATCAAATGGCGTTCACTGCGATAGCGCTTATTTTGAATGACCCATAATGCTGTACGCGTAGAGGCGGACTGGTGGACCTTTGACGAATCGTTTCTGCCGAGATTCGTCTTTGTCTTTCGCGGCGAACAGCGAAATCTCGATTAAAGGCTCTTAGATATTTTTAAAGGTTGAACGTTTCACACATGACGAAAAGTGGTAACATAAAATCAACAATATAAACCATGAGTAAGAATTTTTTTTGTTTTCTTATGTTATTGGGTTACAGAACTAAATTATTTTTGTGAACCTCATTATGTAATTCGCATATCTCTTGGCAAATTTCCAATTTGTTTTGTCTTAAATAACCAAACACCCGATTTTCATTATGTAGTGATCACTTGAAAACTGCGAAATTGTGGACAATGTTAGAAACCAGACTCAGTTATTGACGCTCGATATTATATCCCCTGTGCTTAAGACAATGTCAACAAATGATGTCAACAAATGTTAATTTTTAATGTCAACAAATGATTCAGTTCAAATTACATTATTCTAGTTCATATATTAATAAGATGTTTTCAACTCATTTTTGTGTATAAAAGGAGGAAAATATGTAATTTATCATCGGTGTACACTTCTCCACTAGAACGTAATAGCTCCACGTTCTGTAAGTGTGAAGCAAGTAGGAAATCTCCGATTTTTATTTTTCAAATTTTGTTGGAATGGTTACTTCTCTTGTCATTACCCTATTTACCATGTCGATAAAATATCCCTAAAAGGTTCACATTAAATATTATTTCGAAATTTTTGCCATCAGCGCGCGATCTCTATGGCAGCCTGTACTTCCTTACAACTGCACGCCCCTCAAATGTTGCTATGACACAATTCAAACGTATTCGGTACCTCAAAAAGTGAGCTTAGAATATTTTTCACATAATTTGAATTGCAATGGACGCATTGTCACTAGGGAACGGGAATACATTGAAAGCGTACATCTCAAGGCTGAGGAGGAAGCAATGTCGAAGTAATCATCATTGGATGTACTGGATTCGCTTATATTTACATCGTGCGGTGATGTTGTTCCTAACCAGGAAAATAATCGCTTACTGCCAAGTGAACCATTGTACAGGAAAAAAATGGCTTAGGAAGCCACCGCTAGGTTCGCCATGAAACTACGTTCAGCTATTCTCTTCCATTTCCATGCTAATGGCAAAGGTGGCTCAGGTTATCAACTGGTGTCATTGCAATGCCTCCGAATGGAAGGTTCAAAGATTTGAGTTCCGACGGTAGCAGAATTTTCGACAGTAGCTAAATAACAGGGTCGAATGGAGCTACCGCCTGGAGAAAAATTCTCCTATCGCCTGGTTTCTCTGGTTAACACCAGACGAATGGCAGATCAAAACCCTCCCAGTATACTGAGAAATTTCATTAGAGTTACACTTGAGGTATATATACCTTTTATTGTTGTGAACACAGATGTTCTGCCGATCACGTTCTGATGCTCTTAAGTTTCACGTACCTGCCAAACACTTGTGTAAATACTAATATTCACGGGCAAATATAGCATGTGTTACGTTTTAATATGAATTTTCCCACTACATGTTTATTGCCAAAAATGATCATTTTTTATCTGTCTACAACACTAGAAGTTTAAGTTGTCGATACATACGGTACTTTCAAGTTGGCGCGCGCGCTGTAGAGGGTCGGTAGGCAGAGGAAGCAGCCACGGTAACGCAAGGTTGAGGCAAATCGCACACAGCTTGTGACGTCGCCGGGGGATAGGAGCCGCGGGCGCCCAAACAGGGAGTCTCGTCTTGTGAAAGAGCTCCGTCTTGATAGTTGTTAAAGTAATTCTACCTACCGACCTTGCCCGATATTGGAGATTCTATTTGGACTTTGGTAACGGGATTAGAACTGATAATTCTGCTGGTGACGATGACAGTGCTTTGATTATTGTTCATCTTCTGGTTAAATGGAACGAAGCATTGTTAGCGGTACGATCTGGAACTCTGAATTGTATTTAGTGAACAATAAACGATTGTTAACTGTTTATTTCTTTGTGTTATTTTATGACGTAACGTAATTAACATTTAGTTTCAGACATTATAACTTCAGTGCATAAGAAACATTTACAATTCTGTGCTTAGGAAGTGATTAGATAGCATTCTAAGTAGGCATATTTTGAAAATGGAGGAACTAGCGATTAGGAGTTTGAATGTAATTTGTTTGAACTAGATGTGTTTACCCTTATGAGACTCACTACTGCCATCCATATATCCTATTAGTTTAATCTGCTCCCACCAGAGGGCAAAATGAAATAATTTCGACGAAACGTATATGTAGCGATAAAAGCAAAAGCTTAGGCGGTACTAATTAATTCAGTCCCTCCCATGAACACAATACGGATAATGAGTTTAAAGTCATAGTTCAACTTACAAAGGTAATTAATCTTATTTTGAGAATTTAATTAAAAGAATATTTGTTCTATTTTTAATATTTATTATCAAGCTTAATATGGCGTCGCCAACGCTTTGAACCGTTTTAAACGTGTTTTCATATGTTGAAAGTTTATACCTCGTATGTAAGTTCTAAATAAAAAGAAAATGTCAACGTACAGCTGTCTGGTTTTAACTCCTCGAGCATAGTACTTGACAAATAAACTATTAAAAATGCATAAAAAAATCTATAATAACATAATTACAAAATAAATGTGTAATCGCAGGTCTTGTAGAATATTGATTTGCACTACGGCCACTATCCACTCCAGAATTCAGTATTCGAGAACATAACCGCACGCTCCTAGAAGAGTTTTTTCTGAACAGTACTGAACAGTCTTTAAGTGTATTATCAGGTGGATTATTCAATAAAATTTGTACTTTTGCAAATTCCTGTTCTAGAACATAAGTTCCATTCTTATAGATTTGTATTATAATACTAGTACAAATTTCTTAGTTGAATTATTCTACAAAAGGGGATTATCATATTATCATGTTCGTATAGGTTACAAATAACAATATTATCGTATAAAATAATTATCCTACAGCAAGGGTACACTAATGATGATTCTTTTCCTTCCGAATGAATCAAGTCCTGCATCGCAAACTGTAAACGTCGGCGTCCGGGATTTAAACTTTCTTAGTTTCACAAATTTCTAGTTTTCGATGTTGATCATGCAAATGAGTCAAGGTAGTGAATTTTGTCTTCACATTCAACAATACCCGGCACCTAATACCTTGACTTCATATAGAAGATACACTAACACAGAGTATAATTCAGGAAATGAAGTACAAAGCTCTATAAAATGCATCTAAACCAACTAAAGATCTTGACGTAAAATTAAGGTAGATTGTATTGCGATTTGGTTTATCTGATTTATGTCATTATCATGTTCTAATAACCAAACCTTCATTTTGGGTTTTCAAAATATTCGAAGACGTACTATTTTACAATGTTCATAATCCATTAAGAGGAAAACAATATTTCTTAAATGTGCTTTCCTTACTTAATGTTTGCCAGTCTTTTGAAGCATAACCTAACGATTCACATTAGGTCGGAAACTAAGTAAATTCACAACATTTAAGCACCGTTGGTTTGTTGAAATGCACACAAATGTTTTCTATTCATTTTTAGAGAATTCACTATAACACACACTATTCATTTTTAGAGAACGAGTCTAAGTATGAATAATTCCAATTCATTTGCCTCATTGACAGGAATCAAATGTGCTATTTATCACCTCTGTAGGTGCCGTAAGTCGCTCCAAATACTATTTAGTTCTCTAAAAAACGCAAAAACCCTTTCTTAGAGCAATGTTTCAGAATCTTACAATTATAACTATTTGAAATTGAAATCATTTTACATTGACTCATATTTTTCAAATTAATTTAATTCTTATGTGTAGACAATTCCGGGGAATAGGTTAGATTTTATGAAAATCTTTATCAAAGTTTATAAAAATGTAAGTCATTTACTAAAATAAGATGGGAAGTTAGGAACTTGGGAAGTTAATTTGAAGTGAAATTCATGTATAAAATATCGTCAGTAATTTGCATTACGAGCAACATAAGGAGGATTTTTCACGTATCATTCAATCTTATCGTTCTAAAATTGACTGTTTTGTAAAATTAAAATGTTGGTAACCAAATATTTCTTGCACAGTTTTTAATTATTTTAAATTTTTTGTAGGTAGATGAAAGCGGCAGAGGATTGAAACAACAATAACAACAAATCCAGTGGTTTCGCGGGAAACGTAAGTACAGAACATTTGAACATTTAGACTTGTGAACAATTTATCTTTTTCTAACTTTCAACCTGGAATACCGATTTTTCAAAATACGATATCTTAATTGTGTGTGATGTTTTATTAAGACACATTAACAATATTATCGTACAATTGTTCGCAAACGTCTTTTGAAACATTTTTTTAATCATAAGGTTAGCTTTTACGATGGTGACCACACTATACTCTTGTTTACAACTGTTAGTGCAATTAATTCAATTATTAATCATCCTTTTAACTAATTTGTAGTAAATATAACACGCTGTAATTTGGAAAACGAAAATATTTTCTGTAATTTAAAACAGATGAAGTTGTCGGTAAGATTTCTTGCTGGCGATCATTTTCTACAGACAAAATGCTTTTTTCGAGGAAGACGACAGTGTTACTTTTTGCATCTCCAAACAAGTTCTCTTCTTTTATTTCCTCACCTGAAACCCGAGTCCTCCGAGGACCTCGTCTGCGAGAGAGATATTCAAGAGCACGCAAAAACGCGCAACCTCTACTCCCCGGGAGCTTGATTACGGGCGAACGCAGGGAGTGCGAAACGAAATCTAGGGAGAATAAGGAAACGGGAATAAAAAGAGTGAGAATAAAAAAAAGCGTCTCGTCTGTATTTCTCCAGCAATAATTATACCTGCTCTGTGTACATTTACATGGTATGGAGGGTAAGGAGTAATTGCTTGCTGCGGGAGATCTCTGAAGGAGAGGAGGGAATCTTGGCATAAAGCCTAGGGTTGGCGACTAATGGAAAAAATGACATGGGAACCGCAACTTAAAAAGTATTTGCTTTTTGATGGGGATTTTTGATTGTATGGGGAATGTTGGGATTTGTGAACTTGGAAGGGTTAATCAGATACTCCGAGAGGTCAGTTAGTCTTTGCAACATTTGGTTTCTTCGTCATAGTTTCGGCAATAACCAAATTACCTTTTGTATTGTACATCCTAAGGCTTTCATTGACATTGATGAAGCATTTTTGACATTGTGTGCATCTCAGAAAACTTCATAAAAATGCCAGAACATATTTAGCTGTGTTTTGTTAGTTTTAAGAGATACAAGGAGATTGTTCGTGAGAAATTTTTCATGGAAGCATAATTGAAGTAATTACGTTTATTGTTATCTCGACAGTGCGTTTACATTTCTTACGGTAATTAATTGATCTTTTGATAGAACAAAACTGATTGACAAAATATAGAATTAAGTTAATCTGATTATATGATCCGTACGTCATGAAAGACTGGCCTGGGACGTATTGGATCATCCAACCATTCTAGCTTTTCATTCTATGTGATGTGGATTTCTTAGAAGTAAAAGTTCGTGCGTATTGAATTGTTCCCATGCAAATATACCCGTCGATTGCTTGTGAACTTATTGGCTATGTTTTCTCAGACAGCGAACAATTCAAGTAACGGACATATGTTACCGAGTCAAATGTTTTGTTGTCTCAGTCCGGAGTGATTAGCATGCGTAAATTCATAAGAAAATACTGAGAGCCTGGGTATCAAAATATACGTAAGCACTTGTACCTGTATGACTGCATTGGCTGGTGAGTGCCTGGTAAATGCATTGTCAGTATCTCTCACTTTCCCTTCTGCCCCTCCACTCTTGAGAAAATTCTTGGAGTTGAGAATGCATTGATCCGATGGGTTCTCTCATTCCTGTTAGCTTTTTAACGCGCGGCGCGGCTCGTAGGCTCTCACTCTTTGCCTATTTCACGGCTCGCGCAGGACTGCTCTGCCCTCTGGCGGTCGGCGCGTGAACTAACACGCCGACACCGACGCCCCCGCGTGTGCGAATGAGGCGGGCAGTCGGTGATGTAGCAAGCGTGTGGTATACGGGGTGCTCTTGGGACACGGATCTTCAAGAGAATTCAAGAACTTAAAGAAAATATGATTGTAAGGGAGCAGAGATTAGGCAGATCGAGACGAGAATGCACGTACTGTACTCGAACAGTATCGGGCGAAGATAACGAATATTTCAAAAAGTATAATAAAGTAAGAAACTAAAATACAGAAGCTTGTAAGGTAACATAAATATTTTGAACATTAAGGGTAAATATAATTGTAAATTGAATTAGTCTCTCTAGAAATAATTGAATTAATAAAATGATTTATCCAATTTGATCTGTATTTCAAACTGATGTTAACGTGAAACGAAGGTGCGTTTACTCTGGATTCAGGTTTGTTAATTAAAGAAGAAGTTAGAAGTTAATTAAAGAAGATGTTAGAAGTTAAAGAAGAAGTTCAGAAGTGAAATAAAAATGCAGCTGACAAGAAATTTCCAGTTTTGCATTGGTTAAATAAATATCGTGAAAGTACGTGGAGGACATTTGCCAAAATCACTGCAACATTGTACGACGCTCACTTGCTCCAGTTCTTACTGTCCCGGGCGGTATGGCTCCAAACATTTGCCGTTATCACCTTTTCCCGCCATCAACTTCGCCACCGTGGCGGGCAGCACCCAGGATGGATGGACTTGCCGCACCCGCGCAGGGCTAAGTGCAGGGTTACTGCCCCGTAAAGCGTCTGTTGCGGCAGCCGGCCGAATACCTCGCCCTAGTCCCACGCCCATTCTTCGCACGTGGTCAGCGGCGTACTCTCGGTTGGTGTCACCGAGGGCAAAGCTAATGGTATCCCCCATAAATTAATTATAAAATATCTATTACTGAATAATATATTATTATATATTATTTAATAAAAATATAAGTATATTTTCACTTGATATTTATTTACAATGTATTAAATTTTGTATGTAATTCAGAATATTTGAAATAAAATTTTTAAATAAGTAATTATATAATTCTAACTATAAAATTTTCTAATTGGTGTAACCCTTTAAATGGTGACACCCGGGGAGGACCAACTCTCCTGCACCCCCCTCTAACTACACCGCTACGCGTGGAGATGGACGGAACATAGCACCAACTCCCCACACAATTCTGAGATAAATGCATTTGCTAGGTGTTACTATGTGGTACGCGTTCGGCAAAATAAGCTTTGCCATACGCCAACCGCGAAGATGTAAAGAGCGTATAAAACAACTGGTCACTGCACAGTAAACACGACAATGAGGGAAGTGAATAAAGCTGGCTGCCAACTCTCATGTTGATAAAGATATATACTTGTAAGTTTCCATTACTCGAAATCAAAAATTCTTACCCTTTGCTCTCGTACTCTGGTTATTTAGTCGCCCACAATTAATTCATAAGCCAAAGTTTCGTTTCTTGCTATTCGTTTTGTAAATAACTTTTATGCACAGTATCTTTAGAAACATTAAACGAAAACATGAATAATAACATGAATGTATTTATTGAATTATTGCATAGATTTAGAATCATAATGCAGATGTCAGAATTTGCAGATGTGGCACATTTTTAGTGTATTAGTTTAGTGAGTTAGTACAAAAGTGAATACTGTAGTATGTAATTAATTTTTCATGAAAAAAGTAAGAATTTAATGTAGAAAAAATATTTTTTAATATTTTTTAATTTATATTTTAAGAGATTTTAAGGAAACTTTGTTCTGAATATGAGAATTTCTGATTATTATATATTCTGATATATTATTTGTATACTTTCTGTTTTCCTTTTGTTATTCATTATTAATATCAAGCGTCTATTACTGACGAAAATATTCTAATTACATATACACATATATATATATATAATATATTAGAATATTATATGTGTATATATATATACATACATACATACATATAATATTCTAATATAAAAAATATAAAAATTTCTAAAATAATAAAATATTCTTATCTTGCGTGAAAATAGCATATTAATATAGAAAAAATGTACTTTGTTTTTGGGACTAATATAATTTAGAAAGAGAAGAGTCGATGAGCAACCCTAGTTATACGTTTTCTCGGAAATTACTCCTTCTAAATTTTCATTGTGGCATTACAGGAACGCAGAATTTTTCACGTTTACGTGTTTCTGTTGATTATGTTACAAAACTAAACCTGCAACAACATATTTTAACAAATAAAATATCATCTTTAGTTATACTAGAATTTATTTGTGAAACACTCACTTGCTTATGTGAAACGCATTTTTTATTTCATGACACAGAATATGTAATTATTTTGTAACATTTAATTTACGTGTTGGAGATCTTCTATACAATATTTGTCTGTAGGCGTATTTATTGCGAATATTATCAGTAAACACGAATCAACTTTTATAATTGAGGCCGTACAAAATGTGAATATTATCGTTGACAAAACAAAATGATATGCGCTCATGAGATAACAATTTCATGTGTATAATTACGAGATACATTTTTATCGAAAATTGTTGAACAATATTTGCTTGAAGTCCTATGAAAAAAACATGACACGTGGTTATGTATAATTATTTAATGCCCAACTCTTCTCCGATGTATTATCGATACCAAAATACAGAACATATTTTGAAGAATATTCTATCACATTTGCAATAGTTTTATATTCAGTAAAATGTGAGTACTGATACATCTGTAAAGTACAAAAACATAGGAAGTTAATGATTTCTCAGATTAATTTCTACAAACACACAACGTATTTCAAATGATTTGAATATTTGAATTAAGTTCGACTTACAAGTTACGAAGAAAGTTTACTCGCGTAAACGTGTTGTCATAAATAAAACAAATCAGACTGTAGTAATTAAATTTTGTATTAAATGAACCCTAACGACGAGAAATGCGAACAAGAAAATGCCAAGAATACGAAATAATTAATTAATACAACTGTTGGCTACTATTTTTTTGTTAACTAATAATTAGCAATACTAGGCCATGCTTCTTTCGCAAAATGTGTAAAAAAACAAGAAAAGTTTCTTCCTTTACTGTTTTCTCAGTTCTTTTCACTCTCAATAAGCCAACGGAAAGTTGAAACCAAGATCTTAAAGATGCCTTAAAGATCTCTCACCAAGTTATTGTGCGATCCTTGAAAAATCATTCCAAGTTATATTAATCCTGGG